TAAGAAAATATAAATGAGTTATTTCACTGTTGTAAAATATGTTTGATTTGGCACAAATACTAATACAGTGCTTCCCCGGAGTTATTTTCATAACACTAGAAAGTAAAAAGCATCAAGAAAATACTCCATCAAACTCCATATTCAAGGCTGGGGATTTAGCTCAGTGGTTCTGCTGCGTGCCTTGCCAGTGCAAGGTCCCAAGTTCAATCCCTGGTATGTATGTATGTATATATGTATGTAACAAAAAACTGCATATTCACCTACTGTTTATTTCTTATAATGAAAACAACTGTGAAGACTTTATGTTAGTTTAATTTCAAGTAATATTCATAGGCTATTTGATATTTAATTGTAATATTAACCCTGAGAATATTGTGAGAGACCTAGAAAAAAATTACAGGAACTGAAAATAGCATGGTCACTGTGTGTTACACACAGAATGACATTTATGAAATCCATTCCTCCTAGTGGACAGACATTCACCGCTTCAGAAAAACAACTCCCCATGTAGAAGGCACTTGGCTTGTTTTCCTTATGATACAGGCAGGCTTCAAAACAGTTTTTAGCAGTTAAGGAGGCTTCTGCTGTGCTTGTTTAGCTAGATTGCTCTTCGCAAAGTTGAAGGAAGATAACCCAATCCCTTAAGACTGACAGCTGGGGACATCAGGCATCTTAAGAAACAAGGGCTCTATTTCCCTTTGTTCAGGCGGGATTGCCCTGAAGAGACCTTACTCCAGAGGAGGAAAAGGAAGGATTCCTTATAATTATTCTCCTTTACTAGGAATGGTCCCTGTATTGAATTGACTTCTTTTTCAGAATTTTTTTTTTATAAGCTCATTTCTTATAGGCGAGGTGCAGCAACGTCTTTAATCCCAGGTGTTCTGGAAGCTGAGGCAGGAAAATTGTGAGACCTTGTCTCAAAAAACAGAAACCTGTTTCCTTGAGCTTCTGTAGTCTTGCATTTTTTTGTTTTGTTTTGTTTTATAGAAGCAAAGAGAAAAAAATTAGATAGGGTAAGTCAGTATTAGTATAGTAGGTGGATCTGCATCTTGTTTAATCGTTTTGTCTTTCTGTAAACTGTTTGAATAATTATACCTCTTTTCCAATTTAAATTAGTATATATGTGCATACATCTCTCTTGTTGAAAATGCCATCATTGTGAAATGATGACACTATCAGTCACTTGATTTAAATAAGTATAAGATTTTGAGCCAGGCTCGCTCATAATCCCAGCATTTGGGAGGCTGAGGCAGGAGTATTGCTGGGAGTTCTGAGTTCAAGGCCAGCCTGAATTAAATAGCGAGACCCTGTCTCAAAACAGCAAAACAAGCCAGGCATGGTGGCACAAGCCACCAAGCCTGGCTCCAAAAAGTGTAAGATTTTAAAGCCTTGAAATTGAGTAAAAGAAAATAAGGAACCAAGGGCAGTGGCACCATCCTGTAATTCCAGCTACTCAGGAGACTGAGGCAGGAGGATCAAAAGTTTGAGGCCAACCTAGGCAACTTACATCACAAATAAAAATTTTTTTAAAGGGCTGGGTGTGTAACTCAGTTGCAGAGCAGTAGTATAGCATCTGCAAGATCCTGGGCTTAGTTCCCAGTACCTACACAAAAGAGAAGGGACCTACTTTTTAAATATTACTTATGTTGTCTACATCATTGAATGTAGAAAAACTCTTTCTGCAATTTTATATATTAAGGACCATATAAATGCTGTAATAGAATTGGAATAGATCTGGGTGTCTTACCGGCTGATGGATGGAAAAAGAAATTTTGGTGTATATACTTTATAGAATATTATTCCTGAAAAAAGAATGAAATTCAGTTACTTCCAGCAACATGGTTGGAATTGAGCGTTACGTTAAGTAAAATAAGTCAGGCACAGAAAGATAAATACTCAGTGATCTTCTCTATATGTGGAGGCTCAAAGTTGATGTCAGCTAGGCATAGAGGCACACACCTATAATCCTAGGACTGGGAAGGCTGAGGCAAGAGGATTTCCAAGAGTTCCAGGCCAGCCTGAGCTACATAATGAGACCCTCTCTCAAAAAAAAAAAAAGTTGATGACATGACTATGGGAAGGCTCTGAGGGAGGGAGGTGTTGGGAAGGTAGCTAACAGTACAGCGTTGCATTGGGGTGGGAATAACCACCGCAGTTCAATAGCACACTAAGGTAAATGATATACAATGGCTGAGTATTCCAAAATAGCTAGTAGAAAAGGTTTTGAATCTCACAAACACAAACCATAAATGATGTCATTTGCAGGAAAGTGGATGGCACTCAAAACCATCATGCTAAGCAAAGTAACCTTGGCTCAGAAAGTTAAATGTCAGGTGTTTTCTCTTACATGAGAGACCTAAAATGGAAGTAGAAAAACAAAATAAAGGCCAGATGGTAGGAAACTAGAAAGTATACTCCTGCGGATGGTGAAGGGCTTGGGGGAGGAGGACTGAGGGATTGAAAGCGTGCATTTCCCCAAAATGAATATCACTTCTGTATTACAGTCATGCAGAAACGAATGGAAAATGTCCGAGTGGCGGGTAGGGCAGTAACCCACTCCAGTCACCACCCACTGAATACTTTGTATGAAAACATGTCAATTAAAGATTAAAAGGTTTGGGGGCCGGGGATTTGGCTCAATGGTTCCGCTGCCTGCCTCCCAAGCGCAACACCGGAGTTCGATCCCTGGTACAAAAAAACCCAAAAACAAACCAAGATTAAAAGGTTTTGAAAATTTGCAGTACTAGAAAACTATTCCCCTGGATATCTGACTAGGGATATGTTTTTATTGAAAAATACATTGTTGGGCTGTTTATGTAGCTCAGTGGTAGAGAACTTCCATAGCGAGCGTCTAGCCCTGGTTAAATCCATCCCCACCACCTCAAAGAGGACCTTCATATTGAGTTGGAAATCATAATTCAAAACAGAAAATGCTCTTTGCTCTGTGGTTGAGTTGTTAAATGTGAAATCTGACCCAGGTGAGTTGGCAAACACCTGTCTCACAAAATAAAAAGGGCGGGGATGTAGCTCAGTGTGAGAGCCCTGGATTCAATCCCCAGTACCACGAAGAACCAAAACAGGTAAATTATATGTAACCTGCTTACTGAAACAGTAAACCTAATCCCCAAGAGAAAAGTTATTTTTCCTCTCTTTGGAGGAAATTTTAAATTTGCAAAACTTTATTGTAGAATGTAGCTGTTGAGCAACTCTGAGAGCCCCTGTGTTTTCACATGAAAGTGTTTATAATGCCTGGCAGTACAGCTCTGTAGTGTACTCACTTAATCCCTTGATTTGTCTCACTATCTTCAGTAGGCAGGGGAAGGGCTTTGGTTTTGGTTTTTTTGTTTTGTTTTGAGTATTGAATTGACTTGTGGTGACATGAAGGCCTATTCTACATAATATTATTTATCAGTCTGTTTTTAAGTGGGAATACACTACTCTGTGAATTAGAGAAGCCTATTTATTTTTCAGATGTTTTGAGTTTCTAGCTTTAAACATTTTTCCTAATTCTATGAAGGATACTTTCTTATTTTCCTGTAAGATTTTTGGACTAAAAAGAGAAGTTCTATGAAGTGAAGACTTTAAAATGAACATTTATAAATTAGCTAGTTATTTTTATAATATGAACTGTTTTTGTTGGAATTTACATTAGGATATATTCTATTTAAGACCAGAAAATAATTAGTCTTAAGATTGAATTTCTGGCCAGGCATGTTGGTAAACCCTGTAATCGTAGCGCTCGGGAGGCTGAGCCAGGAAGATCGTGAGTTCAAGGCCAGATAGAAAATGAACATTTATAAATTAGCTAGTTATTTTTATAATATGAACTGTTTTTGTTGGAATTTACATTAGGATATATTCTATTTAAGACCAGAAAATAATTAGTCTTAAGATTGAATTTCTGGCCAGGCATGTTGGTAAACCCTGTAATCGTAGCGCTCGGGAGGCTGAGCCAGGAAGATCGTGAGTTCAAGGCCAGATAGAGAATATAT